TGTGTGCACATCCGCAAATCCGTTGCTAAGGCTTACTTTATGTAGGTCGATTAAATTATGCGCCAAAAACAGGTTGACAACACTTGTTAATAAATAAAAAATACATTCTATATTAAAAATATAAGCTGTATCTCGGAAAAATCGATGCATCTCGCAAAAACCGATGCATCTCGATTTGCTTCCAAAATTTCATTCATCCTCTGCTGCTGAACCGATGCACTCGCATCGTGAACGCGCATAACCGCGTATCGATACATATCGGTTAATCTTCCCATCCCTACTGCAAATATATTATGACTAGTCAAATTCCTCCATTGACTTCCATTAAAAAATATTTGCAGATATCTCTAAATGAGTTTTGACTAGTCACAATTGTAATTACAGATATCTCTAAATGAATTTAATTAAATATGAATTAAATACCTGGAAATGTGTTTTTTTTTTTTTGCACACACAAAAAACGCAAGTGACCAAGCAAAGCCTTAAGCTCTTACTGTTAAATTCAATTGAATAGAAAGCTTATTGTTTTTGCACCTTTACTTAAATTGGACCTTAATTTTGTCTCTGTCATTTCAATAATATTTTTAAAGAAGTTTTTAAATTGTTTTATTTTCCAGAGACAGGCCTGTTTAATTTATTTTCTTAAAGAAGGTTCAGTTTAATAAGTTGAAACAAAAGAAATACATAAAAAATAGTTTACTTGGTAAAATTTGCATTTCAGTTTAATTTTCAATTTTTATTCCAAATATCGTGATACATATCGAATCGTGAACATTATATCGTGATACACATCGTATCGTGAGCTGAGTGTATTATCCTTACACCCATAATATATATATATATATATATATATATATATATATATATATATATATATATATATATATATAAAATTTTAAATATAAAGGGTCACTAACTTTATCAATTCATTCACTGTTTTGTTTTTACATTTTACTGCACTGTAAAAAAACATCCAAATCTTACAAACAAAAAGTTAAATGTGAAAAATTCTAAGACAAACTCTTATCAGTTGCTTTAAGTCCTCCAACTAAATAAAGTTTCTGTGGAATTGCACCAATTAAAATGAGACAAAATATGACAAAATAAATCAAGTTTCTATGTTTTTAGAAATATATAGATGAAAAAATTATTGCCAGTTACTAATATGAAATGCAACGTCGCATCAAAAACTAAAGTTGAAGTCAGAATTATTAGCCCTCCATGAATTTTAAGCCTCCTTGGCCTGGATATTTAATCAATTTCTGTTTTACAGAAAGAAGATTTTTCTAAACACATTTCTAAACATAATAGTTTTAATGACAATGATTTCTAATATTTGATTTCTTTTATCCTTGATGACAGGCAGTACATAATATTTTACTAGATATTTTTCAAGATACCATATCCAGCTTAAAATGCATTTAATAAGCTTAACACCCAAAAAGTTAAGGTAACTCGAACTGTTTGAAGAAACTGATTGCATCAAACCATTTAAGTTCAAAAACGAATCGAGTACTGTGAACTTAATTCATTTGAGTAAACAAAGCAATTGGAGCATATAACTCAATAAATGAAGCGAAATCAAACCAACTGAGTACTGTAAAACCTAATAAGTTAAATAAACTCAAATCGCTTGAGGAAACCGATTGCTACAAACCATTTGAGTTAAAAAACTAATGTAAGTACTGTGAACTTGGTATTTAATTAACTCATTACCTTCAACAGTGAGGTTAAAAACTTGTTTTAAATGAGTAGAATTAACTTTTAGTAAACTTTAAGTTAACTTTACATTTCATTTTAATAAGTTGACTGTTGGGTTTTACAGTGTGTTAATAAAGCAAGTTAATTAGGCAAGTCATTGTATATAGTGGTTTGTGCGGTAGACAATCGAAACAAAATAATATTGACCTAAAAATGGTCGCCATGGAATTAAGGTTCTATCTGTGTTCTGAATGATTTTGAAATATTGAGCTTCAAAGTTTTTGCATTCTATATAGATAACAGTATGTGTGTAACATTTGATTTTAAATAAAAAGTCTTAAAATGTGAACAACTAATAAAAAAAATCCCATAATGTAAATAAGATGTCTATTAATAAGAATGTCAATGACTCAATTTTGACAAAAATGTCAGATAGAACCTCATAATTCTATGGTGACAAAATGGTAATGACAATAATGACAAAAGACAAATAAAACTTTCTCCAGATGAAAAAAAAAAATATTATAGGAAATACTGTTAAAAATTCACAGAAAGGCTAATCGTTTTGACTTCATCTGCATACAACTTTTACTGAAAGCAAACTTTTGACCAGTAGTGTAGAATGAATGTCTGAATGGCACAGATGAGAAGTTAGAAGAGAAAGCAGCATCAGATGCCTTCAAGCAACAATAAGCGCTCTGTGGGACTCTCTCTGGCAGCGCATGACACAATCACGTCTGTGTCTCTGAACTGGGCCAGAACCTGCAGCGCGCAGGAAAGGACACAGAGAGTGAGGCTAAAACTGGGCCGAACACTAGTCACGACAGCCACTGGCAGCACATTCAGTCCAAGTCTGGACAGGGTCAGCTGACAGACACAGACAGACCCACACACACACACTGAGACACACAGACAGGCCCCTTCTCAGTCTCACATGCATCAAATATTAACAACCAATTAATAAGGCCTGGATAATGGGATGTTAACAACTCTGGACTGTGCTGACATTACTAACAAGTCTGTTCAACATGTTAGATACAGTACATTGAGATCTTTCCGGAGCTTAAAAGTGACATGGTGAATAAATATACAAAGGATCAGATGAACAAATGGGTAGAAAATGAGACATGGAGGAAAAAAGAAAAAGATTGTTCATTATGCTCAAGTGTCTCAAGACTAGCAACCCAGATGTCTGAATGTTAAATGAATGCAGGATTAAAACTGACAGAAAAACATACTGAGCAAGAAATGCATTTGTTTTATTACTGAACCTTAGACAGCAAAAATCAACATGCTAAAAAAATGTGCAGCATTAAAAAGAACTGCATTTTGAAATAACTGCATTTTAATAACTGTGTTTTAAAATAACTTAAAATAGCTGCATTTTAATAACTGCATTTGAATTATTTTAAATAACTGCATTTTAAAAATTTAAAGTTACTGCATTTTAATCATTTTAAATCACTGCATTTGAAGATAATTTAAATAACTGCACTTGAAAATAATTTAAATTACTGTATTTTAATAATGTAAAGTAACTGCATTTTAATAACTGCATTTTAAATCACTGCATTTGAAAATAATTTTAATTACTGCATTTTAAAATAACTTAAGTTCAAAACTGTGTTTTAAAATAACTTAAAATAATTGCATGTTAATAATTTAAAAAAAACTGCAATTTAAAATAATTTAAATTACTGCATTTCAATAACTGTATTTTAAAATAACTTAAAATAACTGAATTTTTAAAATAATTTAAATGATTGCATTTTAAAATAACTCAAAATAACAGCATTTTAAATAATTGCATGTCAATATCTATATTTTAATCATTTAAAATAACTGCATTTTAAAATAACTCAAAATAAATGCATTTTAAAATAACAGCATTTTATTCATTTAAAATAACAGCATTTTAAAATAACTGCATGTTAATAACTATATTTTAATCAGTTAAAATATTTGCATTTTAAAATAACTGCATTTTAATAACTACATTTTAATCATTCAAAGTAACTGCATTTTAATAACTGCATTTTAAATGCTACACATGATTTTGTACGATGAACAAATATTTATTCATTTTAAAATGCTTTTGGATTCGATGATGATTTAATTCATGTCATTTTTTACTAATTATAGTACTATTTTAATAGTACATATTATATAAGTTATGATCATCATTATGCACAAATATTTTCATAAATAATTTATCACTAATGCATTATAAATATATTAATTTTATTATATACAACTACAGTAATATTTAAATACTTCATAAGGCTACATTAACAGAATTGGCTATAATTAATTGTATTTGTTTCACATAATTTATAGTTAACTATTTTTGACTGTCATTTCAATACTTAAATATACTAATAACCATTACATTTTACTTCAGCCAGCAAAAACTACGGCTTTCATTTTAATTTTAATTATTTGTGACTTATTTTTTATTTGTTTTATTAATCTGAATACTTCAATGTCCCGGTGAAATGACTAATATATCAGTTATTAAAGCACATATTCATATATTTTTTTCTATACATAAATTATCTGCAATAAATGATTGATATTTTAATCTACCTGCATCTTTAGTCATTTTAAGATTGACCAAGACAACATTTTTCATTTTTAATAAAATTAGAAGCATGTGTACATTCATATTTTAGCTTTATGCAGCCATATAAGGTAATAATGAGATTATGTAATACTGAGATAACTTAGAAATGCAGTTAGTCATTATAGCCAAATAAATCCCTGCAAAAAACGATATACAATCAGGTCAGAATAACTAAAAGTAGCCATAGAAACTACATTAATCGCTTCTGTGTCAAGTCAAACTAGTGGCTTTCTTACAATGGCATTCCCCATATAAACAGCAGAACTAGCTAATTAGCAGATTATGGCAGAGTACAGAAGCCCTCTCTCGCGCTGTCTGGCCCCAAAATTATCATGATTATGTATAGATGAAGAACTGGATTACAGTCCGGGTCCCGTTAAAGCAACCCACAACCTTTAATGCAACCACTTCTTCTTTTTCACTTCTTCGACCAGAACCAGTCTTAACTCGCGCAACGACCCGACCACTAGCTTATAGTTGTCGGGTATTATATGAAGTCAGAGGGTCCCAACAACTTTTTGTGCCTCAGTCTAAAGCCCCTCTCTCTCCCTCTGTCTGTCTGGTTCTCCCTCTCTCTCTACCCGCGGGGCCACTGGCACAGCTGGCATCATTACGTACCCATCTGATGCCATCTACACACAAGCACACGCAGAAGAGAGGGATATCATCTCCTTACCTTTGCACGGAGGAATGAGGAAATGTCTCCGTGAGTCTGCGGAGAGTCGCGCCGCCGCCGCTGCTGATCCGCCGGGATGACCTGGATTTCACCGCCAGGCTCGCGCACTCGACGGCGTAAAAATAATCAGGCGCACAGCGGTGAGTGAAGCGGGCGGCGGAGACACAAGCGCACGCACTCATGGAGGACACATGAGGACATTTCAAAATAAGAGACTTGATGCGAGTCTTCAAAAGAAGAGTTTCAGATACTACAATAATGTTGGTCATTTGAATGTTGATTCAGTTTGTAATTAAGCTTAGGTAAATAGGTGAATTTTAAAAAAATAGTAATAATTTTTTTTTTGCCATTTGACACTTAAATATATTAATAACTTTATTTTTTAAATACTTAAGTTAGCAAAAACCAGGGGCGGACACTCTTTGTAGATATTTTTATATTTTTTTGTAAATAAACTAAGTGGAGCCTTTATCTTCTCAATGTAGAATAAAATACAATCAATTCACATGTAAAAAAAAGAAGTTCACAAACAAACTGTTATGTACTTTTAATTGGCCATATTTAGTTTTTGATATTTGCATGTGCAGTAGAGTAGGAAAGTTCCACTATTCATGGGATCCCCATTTTTGAAAAGAAGTAATAACATTAAATAGTAATGGTTATATAGACAGATTTTACAACATAAGATAGAAAATTTATGAAAGAGCTAAATGATCAATATAGGCTTCTTGGCATTGTTTGGGGCCCTCTTATTCTCTGGTGCCCTAAGCGGTTGTTTACCTTGCTTATTGGTTAAGTCCCATGGCAAAGGCTACAGTTCACGTTTTAATTTTATTTCTTTGTAAATATGAATTGTTTCACTTAATTTTAATACTTTAATACGCCATGCATCTCAGTCATTTTCAAAGCAAGAGTTCATTCAAAATAAAGGTTTTACATCCTAAAATAGTGTTGCTTCAGTTTCAAGTTGAGTTTTGTTAAATTGTTGCATTTTAATTTCTAATTTTTTATTTAGTCTTTTTAAGGCAACAGTTCGCATTTTTATTCAAATTCTTTGAAAGATTTCATATTTTCATATAAAATTAGAGTTTCACATAATAAAATAATATTTGTTCATTGTACCATAAACTTAGCTCCTGTTTCAATATACATATGCTTTATATTTTGAAGCAAGTTTTATGATTAAAGATATTAAGAATGCCAAAATATAGCTATTTCCCAGTGATGGGTTGCAGCTGGAAGGGCATTTGCTGGATAAATTGGAGGTTCATTCCGCTAAGGCAAAAAGAAAGCCGAAAAGAAAATGAATGAATGCAAATATAGCTACCCTGCAGTAAAAATGTCCTAAATGTTTATATAACTATTAAATCGTGTATCCTGTTGTGTTTTAACACGTCCGGTCTTTCCATATTAATTTCTCTCTTCTTGAAACCTGAATGACAGCAGTGACATTTAAGTCTTTTCTTAGAGCGCCCCCTACTTGAATATGCGCTGTATATGTTTTACCGAGTTTTAGTTTTTAAAAAATATATTTTCTATTGTATTTTTTAAGCACTTTGTTTTCTAAAAAATAAATAAATAAATAAAATTAAAAAATCTTAAATCTCTCTCACACACTCACACACACACACACTCACACACACACACAAAACCTAAGCAAATGAAGCGGTTATTATTAATTGTGGAGATGGCTGTGATATGTGGAATTAGCTTTTAGTTTTGTTTAAATTTAAGTAATTTCGGTTTTTGTTTTATTATTATGAATATAATTGTTATATTTTTATGACCCCTATAGAAGTGTAGCTATAGGGTGCATGACACATTTGAAAAAGCAATAAATAATGTAAAACAGAGATGATAGAAGACTACAATAACTCAAATAACACTGAGGTCTGCTGAAAAACTGAGGTCTGCTGAAAACTCAGCTAGTAAAACCTGGAATCCGATGAACTTAAGAGAATGAGCAACAGGGACACTTCTGTCAGCTAAAAACAGCAAACCGAGGCTACAGTTAAAGTCAGAATTATTAGCCCTGCTGTTAAATATTAATTCTTTTATATTTTTTTCCCAATTTCTTTTAAGAAAGAGATTTTTTTCAACGTTTATAAACAAAACAGTTTCAATAACTTATTTCTAATAACTGATTTAGTTCATCTTTGCCATGATGACAGTAAATATTATTTTTAAAGACACTTCAATACAGCTTAAAGTGACATTTAATGGATAACTAGGTCAATTAGGGTTAACTAAGTTAGCTTAACTAGGCAAGTCATTGTAGAACAACAGTTTGTTCTGAATCGGAAAAATAAAAAACAATGTTTAAGGGGGCTAAAAAATATTGAAAAGTTTTTAATTGCTTTTGTTCTAGCTGAAATAAAACAAATAAGATTCTCTCCAGAAGAAAAACATATTACAGCAAATACTGTGGAAAAATGCCTTGCTGTTAAACATCATTTGGAAAACATTTGAAAAAGAAAATTCACAGGATGTCTAATAATTTTGACTTCAACTGTATATGGGTTTAACAAAACTGGACAGTTGAAGGTTGGAATTGAAACAGAAGAATTGCTGCGGTAGCATTCAGAAGTGGTTGGGAAGGTGTAATGGTGTTTGAAATATTTTTGACACTTTTTTAATGCTCCTCGGTACTAATTGAGCAATGTTCAAACACCGTAGCCCATCTTAGTATGTGACCATATTCTATACTCTATTGACCATCTCCATCCTTTTATAACCACATGTGTCTTCATCCTCCAGTCCCCAGATCTCAATCCAATAGTGGTTCCAAAACCAATTTGATGATCAACGAAATTCCAAATATATAAAATGACAGTTATAATAATCATTACTAGCTTATTTACAGCAAATGAAATAAATAAATAATCTTATGCCAAATTCTGTTTATCCTTAAGCAAAGCTAACAACAATCCAACAGAGGACATTTACTGTTTTTGTTCAGACCTAGACTGAGCTTTAGGTATTACAGCAAACATTAAACAAAAATATAAGCATATTGTGCATAACTGCATTCAACATAAAAAGTCTGTTAGTGGTTGTTTTTAGGGCATGAGGGGTCATTTAGGATTTTGAGCAAGAGAGTTTTAAGTTTAATGCCACATCAGTTTCTCTGGCTATTTCATGGCAAAGAAAAAACAGATCAAATTTAGAAACATTTTATAAATAACACTTCTCTAAAGTAAAAAAAATTAAAAATGTACAAAAAAAAAACTACCAGCAACAATAAATAATACATAAAATAAGTAAATCTAAAACATTTTTAAGCTTTACTTTTAATAAAAAATAAAATAAAAAAACACCCATTTTTCAAGGATTAACATTTAAAAACAACGCCTTTAAACTCTCTCCAGATAAAAATGAAAAAATTTTTCATAGTTAAAATCGTTAAAAAAGCTTCTGAACCACTGAAACAGAGCACGTAGGAATGTGCGGAAGATTCACAGGCTGTGTGATGTCAATATGGATGAAAATCTTCGGTCGACTCTTAAAACAAATTACAAACATTTTATAAATAACACTTATCTATAATAAAAAAATGTTCATACAAAAAAAACAACAACAATCAACAAAAATACATAATATAAGAAATAAAAAGATTTACTTTTGATAAAAACTTCTTTTCATTCACATTTTAAAATAACCCCTTTTGATTCTCTTCAGAGAAAAATTGTCTGATTTTGAGGAATTTTTATAGTTAGAATCTTCTGGAAAAAAGCTTATGAACCACTGAAATGGAAACAGAAGATTCACAACTGTGTGATGTCAATATGAATGAAAATACTCTGGGAGACGTTTCCAGCCCCTTACCGAATTCCACAAATAATTAATGCAGTTCAGTAAGTAAAAAGAGGCCCAAGCTGGGATTAGTAGGAGCACCTAAATAAGTATCTGGCGAGTGTATACCTCCCCTGTAAACAAAATCAATCATAACACATTTTTATTAGCAACCTGTGTGCATGTTTGTATCAAACCTGTTGACACAACGACACGAACACACACTTTATGAATTCAGTCATAGCTTTATTTTACCTCTAGGTGGCACAAGGCCCAAATATACAACACTCTCCCTCTATCTCAGTCCTAGGAGAAGCGTGAGAGTCATCAATGCAAACCCAGACTCTCCAACTGAGACCTCTCTCTCCAGTTCTACTGTGCAAAACAGTCTTCTACGATCTCCCAACTAGAACCCGAGCGGAGCGGGATCTAGATTAGTGTAGTCCCAGTCAATGAAACACAGACATATTAGATACAGTGTAAGAGTGTCTCTTTTTTCCCTCCAGAGACGTTTTTAAAGCTCAGAATCGCCCCTGTCAGCATCCGGTCACCGTCCTCATAGAGATCCAGTCTGGTCCAGCTCATCCGTTAAATAAATCCAGAGCCCGGCTCACGGTAGCTTAACGTGAGGGTGGGTGAGTAGTGAAGGGGGCTCATGAGACTCCGTTATTAGTGTACAAGTCTGTGCTGGTGTGTGTGTGTTCATCACGTGCGTCTACGTGTCCTCTTTTGCGGGGCTAATGTGGTCGCGCCTGGCCCAACAACTTCAGCCTGGCTTGGTCGATCACATCCAGCAGGTTCTTGGCGTCTACGGCGAGCGCGTGCGCAGCTGTTAGCATCTGTTTCTTGTAGTCCTGCTGTAGGCTTGTCATGACGTACTGCTGGGCCAACTTCATTTTATTTATCAGCTCAGCCAAATCTGAATTTAGAAGCTTCTGGGCCATTTCGATCTGAGCAGATGGAACATGAGTAAGTTAGTCAAGCTGCTGGGCACGAAACGGAGTATGAGTATTGGTATTTTGAGGCTAGCGTGTGAACTTGTTTACCTCTCTGTGCGTGTGAGCTGGTAATAAAGGTATGGTCTCATCCACTGTGGCCAATAATGTTCTCAGTGCTAATCCCACTTCCTGAAACATTTTGAAAAGTGTAGAGATCACAAAAATGCTACAAAAATGAAAGGCTGTCATTGTCAGTGTTGAGTAAGTTATTTCAAAAAAAAAATTTGATTATTAACTACATAATTATGTAGGCTTGAGAGAGCCAACTAATTGTTATCCTACTCAAACATATAATTATTATTCTGTCTTCTTAGACTAATACCAAGCCCCAAACTTGGCCTAAAGCTGTGTTCTACGTTAATTTGATTGCTTTACCTTTTCAGATTTAACAGACTTATAGTTTTCCAATAAATCATTTTTAAGCATATATTTTTCTAAATA